TGGACTTCAATGCGCAAATTGGTGCGCGCAGCTGCCTTGAGGTCTTTGTCATGCTGGAGGTGATGGCGACCCCCAGTATGTTGAGTCGTTCTGGGCTTCTTCATCGGGCCCAAACGCTCGTGAATTGGAGCTTTGCCTCTCACGTCAGGAATTGGACCGAGGCGCTCCAAAATTGGTTTCTTCTTGCGGGATGACTCTGCATGATCTCCCGGAGAAGTTATTGGGATTGACGGCGACTTTGGTTGACTCGCCGGAGTTTGACCTTCCTTAGAAGGCTGCACTGGTTGCTTTTTGGCCTGAGTCGCCACTTCAGACTTAGGCTTCCAGACTTGTCGTGTTGGTGGTGGCTTCTTCTCCACCTCCTTTTGCAGCTTTCTACGGGCTTCCTGAGCTTGAGCCCGTGCCTGCGCTGACATCGCGCGGCGCTTGCGAATGCGCTCCTCGAGTGTCGAACGGTTCCGTTTGACGCGGACCCATTCTTTCTTTGGCGGCTTGGAAGAGTCGCCATTCATTGGTGGTTGAGGCTGTTTGCCTCTTCTGTTCTTCAACTCCGCGTGGTAGCGGAATCCGTCCGTAGACTCCATCGCCTTAGCGAATTGCCGCGCAAGGCGTTGACGACGCCTCTGGCGGGCTCTCTTTGAGAGAGTCACAACGCCCTGAACAGTAGAGGCGTTGGCGGGAGTTGGGTTGACCTGATTGGAGGTCGGTGGAACTTCATTTGACGCAACTTCGGCGTCAGTTGGGTTGAGAGCTTCGTGGGCTTCCCGAGCAGCTTCAAACCAACGAGCTTTTCTCCCGGAGGAGAACTTCTTGGACTTGCGGGGGGAGATAGAGCCGGACGAGGACACGTACTCCTCGAACTTGGCTTGGTCGAACTCGTACTCGACCTCCTCCACGACCGGGATTGCAATCCGCGGCTGCGACGCATCGATCTCGTTGGCGAGATCGTCGGCTCCCACTGTGGTCGCCAGATTGTTCGCGTGGAAAACTGTTTTCTTTTTCATTGATATGATTGTCATCTTGGGTTACAAAGATCCGGTCTTTTATAGATCCGGTTACAACTAAATCAAAGAAAATAAAGAAAAATTACAACTCTCCTCTGTGAAGCTCAGATCTCGGGATCTAAGACCAAGCTTAGATCCGGAGTGTGATATCGTGTAGATCTCAGATCTGTTCTTTGTCTCCTCTCGAAATCCTGCCTTTTCTGACGTAGGTGCTCGCCGGGGATCAGATCTGTACGTGCAAGTCTTCAAGTCTTCAAAGCTCCGAGTTCACTCTTCAATCCGACAGAGTTTCGGCTCTTGAAAAGTTCCCCCTTGAAAATGAACATCTCTAGGCCTATTTATAGGCTCTCAGGACAGTGCCCGCAAAAAGAGAAATGTCGGCCACCTCTGGCCACTGTCGCCACCGAGCCACCTTGAGGTGGCTCGGCCAAAGCCGATCCACCTTGAGGTGGCTCGGCTTTGGCCGAGCCCCCGCGGGCGGTGTTTTCCGATTTTCTCGAGTTGTGTCCGTTTTCCGGTTTTGTCCGTGATTCGGTTGATTGAGACTCTGATTGGTTGATCTGATTTGGCAGTAAGTCGGATTCCTGATTTGGCAGTAAATCCGCTTCTGAGTTCGAGTCCGAAACTGATCTTGATTCGATCGTGATTCGTCCGAGTCCGCTCTCGGTTGGATGACTCATTGATCCCTCAACTCGTTAGCTTGATTCTGCACGCGGGTGGATTCATTCCGTTGTTCGCGTGTGATTTGTCGATCTCGTCGCCTCGTTGGTTAGTCGGTTTGTGCCGAGCTGAGCTAAGGGACCTATAAGCAATTTTATATGCCTACAGTTTCAGGGAATGCTAATAGAATAGTAACCATGAGTTGAGTTATTCTAGTCCTAACTGGTATTGGCGATGAGATTTTGAGATTCTTAGTTGTGAAGTTAAATTGAACTAGTAATATGTTAACAAAAACTTCTTAAACTTGCAGGGCATCTCCTTTGCAAGGGACTAGTGCTTATTTATTATAGACTAGTTGAAAAAATATTTGGGAAAAATGCTTCCAGCCCTCAAAAGCTAAGGAAACGTGCTTCCCACCCCCAAGACTTGGTCAATGAGTGTTTTACCCCAAAAAATAAAGATTCTATTCTCTGAGCCCCCAAAACACAAAACCCAAGAGATTAAAATATGTGAAGACCATAATACTCTTCTCTCTCTTTTTTTTTTTTATTAAAATATGATGAGGATTATTTTATTATTTTTGTTTTCTCTCTCTCTTTATCATAATGTACTAAGATGATAGTTGAAATGATTGATGATGATTATTTTATTATTTTTATTTTTTATTATTTTTATTATATGTATTGGGAGATTGTTAAAGTTACGGGTTAATTGTTAAGGTTACGAGTTAATTATTAATGTTACGGGTCTCTCTCTCTCTCTCTCTCTCTCTCTCTCTCTCTCTCTCTATCTCTATCATGATGTTACTTTGATAATATTGAAATGATTGAAGAGGATTATTATTTTATTATTTTTGTTTTTTATTCTTTTCGTATTTTTAGAATATTCGTTGTTAAGGATAATGGTTGGTTGTAAAGGTTATGCATTGTTTGTTAAGGTTATGGGTTGGTTGTTAAGGTTACGGGTTTGTTGTTAAGGTTATGGGTTTGTTGTGTATGTTACGGATTTTTTGTTAAGGTTACGGGTTTAATTGTTAAGGTTACGTGTTTAATTGTTAAGGTTACGGGTTTAATTGTTACGGTTACAGTTTAATTGTTAAGGTTACGATTTAATTATTAAGCTTATGAGTTTAATTATTAAGGTTATGGGTTTAATTATTACGGTTACATGTTTAATTGTTACGATTACGGGTTTAATTGTTAAGGTTACGTGCTTAATTGTTAAGGTTACGGGTTAATTGTTAAGGTTACAGGTTTAATTGTTAAGGTTACGGGTTTAATTGTTAAGGTTACGGGTTAATTGTTAAGGTTATGGATCCCTTCTCTCTCTCTCGTAACCTTAACAATTAAACTTGTAACCTTAATAATTAAACCGTAACCTTAACAATTAAACCAGTAACCTTAACAATTAAACCCGTAACCTTAACAATTAAACCCATAACCTTAACAATTAAGCCGTAACCTTAACAATTAAACACGTAACCTTAATAATTAAAACCGTAACCTTAACAATTAAACCCGTAACCGTAACAATTAAACTCGTAACCTTAATAATTAAACCGTAACCGTGACAATTAAACCCGTAACCTTGACAATTAAACACGTAACCTTAACAATTAAACCCATAACCTTAACAATTAAATCCATAACTTTAACAACAAATCTGTAACCTACACAACAAACCCATAACCTTAACAACAAACCCGTAACCTTAACAACCAACCCGTAACCTTAATAAACAATGCATAACCTTTACAACCAACCATTATCCTTAACGACAAATATTCTAAAAATACGAAAAGAATAAAAAATGAAAATAATAAAATAATAATTCTCTTCAATCATTTCAATATCATCAAAGTAACATCATGATAGAGAGAGGGAGAGAGAGAGAGAGAGAGAGAGAGAGAGAGAGAGAGAGGATTCATAACCTTAACAATTGACCCGTAACATTAACAATTAACTCGTAACCTTAACAATTAACCCGTAACTTTAACAATCTCTCAATACAAACAACGAAAATAATAAAAAACAAAAAAAATAAAATAATAATCCTCTTTAATCATTTTAATATCATCAAAGTAACATCATGATAAAGAGAGAGATAGAGAGAGAGAGAGAGAGAGAGAGAGAGAGAGAGAGAGAGAGGATTCATAACCTTAACAATTGACCCGTAACATTAACAATTAACTCGTAAACTTAACAATTAACCCGTAACTTTAACAATCTCCCAATACAAACAACAAAAATAATAAAAACGAAAATAATAAAATAATCATCATCAATCATTTCAACTATCATCTTAGTACATTATAATAAAGAGAGAGAGAAAACAAAAATAATAAAATAATCCTCATCATATTTTAATAAAAAAAGAAAGAGAGAGAAGGGTATTATGGTCTTCACATATTTTAATCTCTTGGGTTTTGTGTTTTGGGGGCTCAGAACAGAATCTTTATTTTTAGGGGTAAAACACCCATTGATCAAGTCTTGAGGGTGGGAAGCACGTTTCCTTAGCTTTTGGGGGCTGGAAGCATTTTTCCCAAAATATTTAGATGTTCTAATTATTTGATATCGGACTTGTTAAGTATGAATGTTTAGAAATGCATGGGCGCGCACATACATACATCTACATATAAAAATTTAAAAATTCATCATCACCAGATTTTTACAAGTTTATTCAATGCATATCGATACGTACAAACAGACATATACAACTAATCATTGGCAAAATGTTGAATCTTTTTATCTTTGTGTATGTCTAACGAAACCCAGTTGTTTGGCTCTTAGCTTCCTACATTTTGTAGTGTTCCTAAAATAAAATCCATATTGTTGATATACACAACAAACCGTAATACAGCTTAAGCTCATTAAAAACTAATCATCAACCACATTATCCTAATATGGGTTATCAGCCGGCCTATAATCTCCAGCCAGCTGTCTGATCCTAATTAGTCCATTCATACAAGTTCATCTTGGAACCAATAAGAAAAATTGTGCGCTTCCTTAACATTTGCCTCCCCATAATTAAACAAGCAGTAAACAAAACGAGAACTCATCCAGGGGCGTTCAGGACAATGAAAGAGATTGATGTTCTACTTCCGTGTGCACATTACTCTACTCAGCTCCTCTTTGTTTTTCGTAGTGTCTGGATTCAACAGACTTAACTAAATTCCAACAGCTTGCTTCCCTCCACTGGTGATACACTCGGAGCTTCCCCCATTTGTACCCCTACGACTCATACTCACCCAGTCCCTATAAAACCCAAGACCCTCAAATCTCATTCAATACGAACGAACGCCCCTCAATTCCTTTTATCTTTAAGTAAACAAATCAAATGGCAGCAGAACTTGGCTTGTTCTCTCTGACCCAACTCCAAAACCTAGCCCAACAACAACAACAGCAGCAGCGTCGACCTGCGAATGAAGAGGATGACTCTTGGGAGGTGAGAGCATTTGCAGAGGACACGAGCAGCTCCATGGGCACAACATGGCCGCCGAGGTCCTACACGTGCAACTTCTGCAGGCGAGAGTTTCGATCAGCGCAGGCGCTCGGCGGTCACATGAACGTTCACCGTCGTGACCGTGCTCGCCTTCGTCAGCCACCGCAGGTCCCTGAGCCACCACCTGTGATGATTCCTTCCGGTGAGTTTGTGGCCAATGGTGGGCTCTGCCTTTTTTATCCAGTTCCAAACTCTTCTTCAACTTTTCTGTCTGTGTCTGCATATGAACAGGCAGTTAACTTGCCTACTTCGTCGATGAATCTCGGCGAGTCACTTTTGGGCAAGGTCGGAATGGTGAGAGATGCGAGTGAGGGGAGAGATGCTAGTAGCAATGATGATGGAGGAATCGTTGAGGAGTTGGATTTAGAGCTTAGGCTTGGCTGGTGATTCTTTTTTATGTTTGTTTGTTTGTTTGCATGAAGGAGATCATGCATGGTGTTTATATGTCCGTAATTGAATGTAAGTGAATTTTGTTTCTCATATTGTGTATTATTGAAGGGTTCTCATAGAATTTGTTTTGTTCTGATATGTATAATTTCAAAAATTTTGCTTTTGGAGTGCTGATTATTAAGTCTTGTTGTTGGCTATATCTAGCATCAAAATAAATCAGAATAAATAAATTAAGAACTGAAACGATATGAATCTATAACATAAACAAGACAAATGCAAGTAGTTAGTCGTTTCCATGAGCTAATTGTTGGATTAAATCTTGTTATGGGCACATATGTTATATTAGTGTGTAATGTTATCCTTAAGGTTGACATGCATAAAGTGATCAATTAGTTAATTTGGGTCAATGGGTATTTAATATAATCATAGGCTAATTGTGCAGATACCATGTTGTAATTATAATTTAATGAGGGCCAAATTATAAAAGCACAACATCTATAAATAAGGGGTTATGGTCCCTAATCTGATGTAGTGTTCTCTATTCTCTAAATCCTCATCTAAAGAGAAACATAAGGAGATATCCTCAAGATTATAAGATCAAACCCTAATTCAGATCCGTGCAAATCTTCATGGATTCAAGTATTGCTTCCGCTCTTCTGTTAATCTCCTCTTTGAACTAATCACATATATCTTGTATATCTGATATAGTAAGTTTAACAAGTGGTATCAGAGTCACAGTGATTAATTCTTAGGGATCTAAGATTAAGATTAAGAAATTAGGTTTCTTTGATCTTAATTTTCTTTTATTAAGATCTGTTGATGCACTGTAGCGTGCATGAATCTTGCTTTTCTCTATCGTTTTTTGGTCCGCATGAACAAGAAAGTTCATGTTTTTTAATTGATTTCTTCTTTCGGATGTTGAATTTGGATCAAACTCTTGATCCAGTTTGTGTGCAATTTATCTTTTTTCGATTTGAGGATTTGGTTCATGGTTCAAGCTCAAAATAAAAAAAATCAACTGCATCTCTATTTTGTTTGTGTCGATCGTTGGACTCCTTGCCGACGATGTATTTGTTGGCGGCACCATTGTCAAAGGAAGACAGCGACGGCGGTAATCAAGAAACCCTGGGGTTTCACCCTAGGGTGTAGGAGCCTAAGCGGCAGTGGCGGTTCAGTTTTGAAACCCTAAGGGGTGGAGAGATCATGCAGGAATTAGGGCATGAGGAGCTTACATGAATTCAGGTGAGGTTCGTCGACAAAACTACAGGTGAGCCTCACTCAGGCAAGCATCTTTCAGGTGAGCCTCGTCGACAACTCTGCAGGCGAGCTCGAAGCTCACTCAAGCGAGCTTGCACTCGCAGGCGAGCCTAAATCAGGCGAGCTCGAGCCTCGATTTAGGCGAGCTTCTTCGAAGTTCAATTCAGGTGAGCTTCTTTGAAGTTCGATTCAGGCGAGCTTCTTCAAAGTTTGATTACATGTGAGCTCGACATTTGATTCAGGCGAGCTCAGAGCTTTCGATTGAAAGCGAGCTTTGTCGGCACATTTGGGAATAAAAGGTTGATGATCCTCTTTGAGGTGTAACAAGCCAAATCTCACTAAAGCAATTTAAGTTAGGGGCCTATAATTTAATTAAGTTGTAGGCCTTATAAGTTATGGGTCTTTCTAGCCTAATTAAATAGAGAAATTTAATTAGGTTATAATTTCCCAAATTAATTTCAAAAACTCTTTAATATGGTTTAAATTGGTTGATCAATTGTTAATTCAAATAATATGACACTAAGATATTAATTTTGTCTCTCATTCTAAATGATCGAAACAAGATCTTGCTAAAGTAACCTCTCTTGTGTAAATTGTTCATGATGAATGTTAGATGTTTATGTGTATGTTTTCGTGTAAATATTTAATCGGCCTAAAGGAAGGTTAATATTTACTTAGACTGCATACACATCTGCGATGATAAACGTGTAACAATTATAAAGTTTACATATGAATAATGAATCTATGCAAAGATAGTTTCATTATTTGACATGAGTTATTATCAGTGTTTGATCATTACAATAAGGTATCACTTACAATTAATATTACTGTCCAAAGACTTGATATTAATGTTGTACTAGATATCTTAAGATAGGATTTGTCATTATTTAAATTATATTGATTACTAATTATAGTTAATAATGTGAACATCTTTTGTTTATTTCAGCTAATGCATCTGCTACAATAATTTTTGCTATCAATTCGCATGCTCAATGAGACAAATTTCAAGGTTTGGAAAGAGAACATTCTAATTGTTTTTGACTGTATGGATCTAGACCTTGCATTAATGACTGAACAACCCTAACCTCTTAATGCGGATAGTACTCCTGATATAAAGAAGGAGCGTGAGAAGTAGGAGCATTCAAATCGCATGAGTCTAATGATCATTAAGCGCAGTGTTTTGGAAGCCTCTAAGGGCATAGAATCCGAAGGGATTACTAAAACCAAAGATTTCCTTGTCGAAATTAAAAAACATTTTGCTAAAAACGATAAGGTAGAAACAAGCACGCTTTTAACTCGCTTGATTTTGGTGAAGTATAAAGGCAAAGAAAATATCAGGCAGTACATCATGCAGATGTCTCATATTACTTCAAAACTTAAGGTACTTAACTCAATCTATGTGATGAGTTACTGGTGCATCTGGTTCTTTTGTCTCTTCCTATATAATTTAATCAATTTAAGATCAGTTATAACTGTCAAAAGGAGAAATAGACTCTAAATGAGCTCATTTCATACTGTGTTTAAAAAAAAAATAGGTTGAAGCAAGATAAGACTGAGAGTGCTCATTTGGCCTATGCCGCTAAGGATAAGGGCAAGAAAAGGAAGATTGATAATGAAGCTGCTAAGGGTCCAGTTCAAAAGAAATAACATAAGGATGATCATGATTGTTTCTTTTGCAATAAGGCTGGACACGTAAAGAAGGATTGTACCAAATATCACGCCTGGCATGTTAAGAATGGTATGTTCCTTACTTTGATCTGTTCTGAGATTAATTTAGCTTCAATACCTAAAAACACTTGGTGGTTAGACTCTAGTGCTACTACTCACATAAGTGTTTCTATGCAGGGTTACCTGAGCTACCGAAAGCTAAGTAATGATGAAAAACACATCTTTGTATGCGATGAATAATCGGTAGACGTGGATGCAATTGGGTACTTTAGGTTGCTATTAGGAACTGGTTCTTATTTGGATTTGAAAGATACTTTTGTAGTACCATCTTTTAGACGGAATTTGATTTCTGTTTCTGGATTGGACAAATCAGGTTATTATTGTTCATTTGGAAACAATCAATTTAGTTTATCTTCAAATTCAAATGTTATGGGAACTTATTTCTTGAGTACTTATGACAACCTATATTTGCTTGATACAATTGCTTCTTATAATAAAACCTTGCATGTGGAATCATATAGTACTAAACGTAAATTAAATAAGGAAAATTCAGCGACATTATGCCATGAGCACTTGGGTCATATCTCAAAAGGCAGAGTTGGGCGTCTTGTGTCTGATAGCATTTTGGATTCCCTTGATTTTTCAAATTTTAACGTATGTGTTGAATGTATCAAGGAAAAACATATCAAAGTTAAGAGATTATGTGCCAATAGATCTTCAAAAGTCTTAGAATTGATACATATAGATATTTGTGGACCATTCCCTATAGCATCGTGGAATGGTCAATAATATTTTATATCATTCATAGAGAATTACTCTCGTTATGGATACATATATCTTATTCATAAGAAATCTGAGTCTCTAGACGTGTTCAAAGCTTTTAAAGCTAAAGTTGAGAATCAACTAAAAAAAAGATTAAAACCGTTAGATCTGATCATGGTGGTGAGTACTATGGTAGATATGATGGTTCAGGTGAATAACATTCAGGGTCATTTGCTAAATACCTAGAAGAATGCGATATTATCCCACAATACACCATGTCAGGATCACCTAGCATGAATGGTATAGCTGAAAGACGAAACAAAACTCTTAAGAATATGATAAGAAGTATGATTGCTCATTCTTCTTTACCAGAGTCACACTGGGGAAAAGCATTAAAGACATCAGCTTTTATTTTGAACAGAGTACCAAGTAAAGTAGTTATAAAAATACCTTATCAGCTTTGGACTGGTTGAAAGCCCTGTTTAAAGTACTTACGCATTCGAGGATGTCCATCTGAGGCAAGGCCTTATAGGCCAAATGAAAAGAAATTGGACTCCAAAACAGTTAGCAGCTACTTTATTGGTTACTCTAAATGATCTAGGGGCTATAAGTTTTATGATCCCATACTCAGGACTATTTTTGAGACGAGAACAATAATATTCTTTAAGGATGTTGAGTTTAGGGGAGAAATAAGGTTAGAGACATTGTTTTTAAGGAGGAATTGGCTTCATATCTAATCTATACTATAACTTTTAACAATATTTAGATTCCTATACCTGTTATTGATTAAAAAAAATAAATCCGGAACCTCAAGAAGACAATGTTGAACAAGTCCCTATTCTAGAAGAAAAAACTCAACAACCTCAAGAACCAGTGCCATTACGGAGATCCATGAGAGAAAGGAGAAATATTATTCCGGATGATTATATTATATTTCTCCAAGAACATGAATAGAATGATGGAAGATGATCCAATCAACTTCCATCAGACCATGAAAATTTCTAACTCTCAAAAGTGGATTGATGATATGAATGAAGAGTACAAGTCTATGCAAGACAATAAGGTTTGGGAACTTATTCCATTATCATAAGGTGCAAAACCAATGGGTTGCAAATGGATATTTAAAACCAAGCAGGATGAAAATGGTAATGTAGAGAGGTATAAGGCACGTTTTGTAGCAAAAGGCTATACTCAAAAGGAAGATATTGATTATACAGAGATTTTTTCTTCGGTTTCGTCGAAAGACTCTTTAGAACAATAATGGCGCTTGTTGCTCACTTTGATCTTAAGTTACATCAGATGGATGTTAA